AAAAAAAAAAAAAAAAAAAAAAAAAAAAAAAAAAAAAAGAATTGACTCACCCATAGTCACCCTTGTTCTTTTCTTTTTTTGCCACCTTTTCATTTGCTCTGTTGCTTTGGGGTGGGGTGTGTGTGTGACTTTTTTCTCCCAGGGGTCTGGTCCCACCTACAGCGTTGAGTTTTCTCAACGCTGAGCTTTCTATCACGTGCGGCATGGTGGGACGGAGCTCTGCCGTTGATGTATTGCGAATCTAACGGTACCAAAATACAGGAGAATAAGTTCTGAATAACCTATTAGATTTCGTCTTTTTGTAGAATTTTTCGTTGACGTGAAATACGTGAAATCCGTTTTGTAGCATGCTTTGGCCCTTTTGGTTTGTGGGCGGGAAACCGTTTTCCATTGAGAAATGGTGGGACAGAGCTCTGCTGTTGACGTATTGCGATCTAATGGTACCCAAATACAGGAGACTAACCTATTAGATTTTGTCTTTTTGTAGAATTTTTTTTGACGTGAAATCGATTTTGTAGTATTCTTTGGCCCTTTTGGTTTGTGGGCGGAAAACCGTTTTCCATTGAGAAAACTACCCTACCGAGGGTAGGGTACATTTCTCAACCACAGTGCCTTTCCTTTTTTTCGGTTTTTTAGACATCATTACATCCTGAAACGGAGGAACTCTGACAGCTGCGTTTGGCTCTCTGGCATGAAACTCGTTTCCTTCTTTGGGCAATGAATGCATTTGGCCATCCACGTCGTCCCTGTCCATTTTACAAATGGTGACCTCCTGTCCCCTCACCACGGCGAGTATCCCTTTTTCACGGAGACATTCACTCCGACTGTTCCAGACATGTTTCATTTCTTCTTCTTTTTTTTTTTTCTTTTTTTTTTTAACATGTTTCATTTCTCCGAGCTGTGTTATCAGAAATAAGGAGAAAAGCTGTTTCTAACTTTCTAGCGTTTTTTTTTCAGTTTTTTAATTTCTTGTTTCGAATTCATTAATGTAGAAAAAATACTAGAAATGGCATCACACCGTCAAGTTTTCTGAGCCCAACAACGGTAGGTGGGACCAGACCGCAGGTGTACTTTGTGTGAGGGGGATCGACAACTACTACTATAAATTATAATCGAACCGTTAGAACTCAGAACGTAGAATTGACTCACCCTTTTTTCTTTCAAAGAAGAAGGGGAGGGGGGGGGGGGGGTTGAAATTGACTCACCCAGGTCACCCTTGTTTTGTTTGTTTTTTTTGCCACCTTTTCATTCGCTCTGTTGCTTTTGGGTGTGTGTGTGACTTTTTTTCTGCAAGGTGTGCTTTGTGTGAGGGGGATCTATAACTACTACTATAAAATAGTATAAATTTTTAATTTATTAAATTATAATTGAAGTTATTGAACAGTTACAACTTAGAAATTAAAGTTGACTCACCCTTTTTTCTTTCAAAGAAAATAAAAAAGAAAACAGAAATAATCGACTCACCCTTTTTTTTTTTTTTTTTGGCCACCTTTTTGTTTTGCTCTGTTTCTTTGGGGTGGGGTGGTGTGTGTCTGTGTGTGCCTGTGTGTGTGTGTGTGTCTTTTTTCTCCCAGGTGTACTTTGTGTGAGGGGCTTCGATCAGAAGACAAGGACGCCGAAGCCGTTGTCCTCGCTCATCCACAAAACTAAGGGCGGTTCCAAAAAGAAATGGACTGAATGATAAATCGTTCAATGCCGCTGTGATATATAACAAGTGGCTGGCTGTGATAGTGTCCTGATCCTGTGCACTAGAACAGCCCTCAGTATGACTGCATTGGACCAGATTCATAGCTTGTATACATTCACAATTAGGCTGTACATTTCTGATAAGTGGCTGGCTGCTGGCTGGCTGGCTGTTCTAGTGCACAGAAGATCTACTAAGGGTATCACAACAGCCAGCCAGCCGATTCACGTCTCCGTTTTCAACGACGAAAGTGCTTTCTCTTAGACCACCAGTATATCCGTACCCCTTTTGCACGAAGCCGATTCCTCGCTGCGCGCCAAGCTTTGACGGCCTAGTTTATGCTTTCTCTTAAACCACCAGTATACCCGCACCCCTTTCGCACGAGGCCGATTCCTCGCTGCATGCCAGGCCGCACCCCTTTTGCACGAGGCCGATTCCTCGCTGCGTGCCAAGCTTTAACTGCCTAGTTTATGCTTTCTCTTAAATCACCAGTATAGTAGCATACCCCTTTTTGAAGGGATTTGGGCAGCACCATCGATTTACATGTTTGCTTGTCCAGATCCGTTCTGTTGGGGGGGGGGTCGTCAGGGGTGAGAGATTGTAGGGGTATATATATCGTCACAAATAGAACTGCCCGGTAAACCGTAGGCAGAGAGGGAGAAGAGAGAAGAGGACAACAAACGAGGGGCTGTGATGTCTGCATGTGTAGATTACGATGAGTTTGGTGGGGTTGAGGTCCCCTGAGGAGGAATTCCCCACCAGAATTATTGCTCAACAAATGCTGAGGCTGTCATGGTAGTGATGAATGTGATGGCATATTACGGTGATTAAAGCTGTATTTGGGTCAGCTTTGAGTCTACATGCAGCAATAATGACCGTACGTTGTATTCGGTTGGCGACGGTACTAATTGATTAGCGCCTTATCTGCCATTGCGTACAAGTAATTAGCATCCATCATGATTCCGTATACTAAGGGCAGTTCCATAAAAGACAGCCAAATACTAAGGGCAATTCGGATGCGAATACAGCTATTCGGTCTATGATTTCTTCTGTGGAACTGCCCTTAGTAAATAGAGTATTCGGCTCAACTTTCAGCTAGATACAGCGATAAGGATCGCCACGCCTTCTTCTGGAGGGAAGACGGTAGCATCTTGTCTGGAATTGTATGATGACTGTCCATCTATTAATACCCAGACCAGATTCTAATGATTAGCTGCCGACAAATCCTGACCGGATTCACAGCGTTGTTTTTTTTTCAGGAGGGAATGAAGATCTTAGAGGCCCACCATGTGGCAGCTAATGATTAGTACCCCTCCTGAAGATCTCAGAGGCCCACCATGCAGCAGCTTTCCACCTTCATTCCCTCCTCTTCTTTACGGCAGCTGACGAGAGGCCCACCATGCGGCAGCTAATGATTAGTACCCCTCCTGAAGATCTCCACCTTCATTCCCTCCTCCTCTTCTTTACGGCAGCTAATGATTAGTAACCCTTCTGAAGATCTCAGAGGCCCACCATTTTGTGCACTCTTCTTTTCGGCAGAGCTAATGATTAGCAGCTGCCGCTGTAAATATGAGGAATGCACAAGATGCGGAATGGGAGAAGGGGTACGCGAAGCGAAGCGGCATTGATCATGTACCTCATCATCAGATTCTTTGAGGAGGGGCAAGCATTCTGTTTCTCTTTCTTAATTGGGGTTGAGCCATGATTCCACCAGCAAATCAGGATCAGCATAATGCAAACGCCACTTGCCTCTTTTCTTTCCTCTTCACCTTCAAACTTTAAACTCAGCGAAATGCTAGCACATGCTACACTGGCGGGGG